GACAGGGTAAAGTTTATGCAGACATGTGTGCCCCATTTAATCTCTCTGATCACTTTTATGATTGTAATACTTTTTGAATTGATGTACATGAGATTTGGATCCAAAGATTTACCACAAAGCGTTCAAAACTTCATCGCAATAGAATTTCTCCTGTTTCCTCCGATGGTGAATCCCCTCATATACGGATTTAAGCTGACAAAAATACGAAACAGAATCCTGAGTTTGTTTTATGTTTGAGGGCGATGACCAATTCATTTACCAACAAAACTTTCAAGTTTTAAACTGTATTGATTATATGTCTGGCTGTTTTTTTTTATATGAAATTGTTTCATAAGCAGTTTGTTTTGCTATATAACACATTGTAATTGGCATTGAATGGCATTGTAATTTTTTCTGTCCATGTGTCAAAATCCATTTTTCACAGACAGTAAATGAAATAATTAGCATATATGTAGTTTGACATTCGGAGTCTCATGCTGGCCGGCTGACATGTGACTCCTCCAAAAGGATCCAAACCATTCTGAGCTATTTTATTCTTGTTTTGGTACATGAGAGCACAATAGCATCTTTTCTACAGATTCCTCTCCAGAATGACTTTTTATAAATCACGTGTTCCATATTAATTTACTACTTTTATTTCAATTAAAATGTTTGAACTAAAAATGTTTCTGTGTTTCTTTTGGCTGTTATTTAATCTCTTTGCTTTGCTCTTCTTTCGGCAAATACATGTTTTTTTCATTTAATTCAAAACATGATGATATGAATTCTCATTTCCTCAAAATTCAGTATCAAAAGAGTTGTTTCACTAAATTGTGACTTTGTCTCTGGAGTGCTAACTAATTGCATTAGTGATATTCATGTTTGAAATTTCCTTTTGACTAATCCTAACTAATCACTTCACTTAAAAAAAACACAAAGCTCTTATCTGACAGGACCTTCATGTAGCAAATGTGCATGTTCACCTTTTAGACGCCTCTGTGATGAAAACAGTTCACATGGGTGATCTTAGGAGAGTGTTTTCGTCATTATGAGTTTCTGTGATTTGCTGGCTCCTTCTCCTTCTTCTGGGCCTTGACTCCTTGGACCAGTAAGCTGCCCAGCATGGCTCCGGCGGCAACCCAACCGGCCGACCTGGAGCTCATCCCTCTGGGAAGTCTGAAAGAGGCCACAAAGGCGCCAACGGCCGCTCCCAGCGCCGCTCCGCCGGCTCTCAGCCACGATGCCGTCCAATCGGTTTCCAGATTCCAGAGTTGGTTTATGGCGTCCGTCTATGGACCGAAAAGTAAAACATACTTCATTGACAAAACTTGTATAACATCCCCAAGTGACATAATAATGTACAATATTTTACCGACTGCTAGAAAAACTTAAATATAACGATGAGCAACAGGGAAGTTAGAGGGTTGATGTTTAGATTCACCCACAAAAAAGGGACGCTTTCGTCAGCACCATATTTCAAAACTGTTGTAGTTGGCAGAATTTTTTACTTTTATGGCTCATTGAAAAATTACTTATATGGATTTTATTAAAGTAGAAATTGAAGTGTGCCTGCTCTGAAAAGGTTGCTCTGAAAACTGCTGATTCTTCAGGGGATTTAAGTTTATCACATACACTCACTTTGTTATGTTGTCTTTCTGATGATGTCATAGTTACCTAATTTTGAGAACTGGAAACATCTACATTATTTGTATTTTGTCTTAATAAGTAGAACCATAACACTGATTGTGCCTGAGATCTGTACCTCCCTGTGAGTGAATCCTAAGTGATGCTGTGAGGATCTTAAGATCATCTACCACACCACAGATAAGCAAAAAAATGTATTAATTCATTAATTTGAGGCCTTCGTAAAACAAGATTTGAAAAGGCAGGAAAGGAAAACTGCCTTTCTCAGTGTATGTCTTCTGATTTAACAAGCCTGTTCTTCTGATAAGAGAACTTGTACTAATTTTAAAAATTAAATCTGTTGGCTCACCTTTTCATAGGCCGTGATACCGTCATCCAGCCTAGCTCGGCTTTGCTCATCCGTCTCTGTAACTTACAGGGTAAATAGCCTCAGTCAGTGATTTACAAACTCCTGATGACTTTCTTCACAAGTACAAATCATACTGACCGGGTTTGCCCCCATAGTGAGATGATGTGATTGTGAAGGCCCATTTTGGCTGTCTGCTGAACTCCTCCAAGTAATTGGTGTCTGTTGTTGTTTTCATTCGCCCGTGTTGGTTGGAGCATGCCGTGTGCGCCTCACTTTCCTTTTTCTTACAGTGCCTCCGCAGCTCCCCGATCGTCGCCCCGAGCAATTTCTTTGTTTCATCGTTTTCCTCCTTCAACTGCTCGGCAGCCTGTTTGAGCATTTCCGCTCGTCTTTCGTGCTCCATCGTCACTCGCTTCAGCTGTTCCTCTTTTCTCTCGCACGTCCCCATCAAAGCCGCTATCTCCTGCTCCTGTTCCTTCAACTTTTTCTCGAGCGTTTCCTTTTCCGTCGCGGTGTTCTGCTGCTGTTTCAGATAGCTGTTCTCCTGACGAGCCTCCATAAGTCTCATGTTGATTTCTTCCTCGTACTCTTTATTAAGCCTTAGTCTCTTGTTTTTTATTTCTACTGTTGTCTGCAGAGTTTCAATCTGCTCATCTTTTTCTTTTGCCGTCCCAGTCAAGCCCTCCACCTCTCTCTCTTTTTCGTTAACAATCTGCATGAAGAGGTCATTCGCTGCTTTGGTTTTCTTAAGTTTCCCTACTGCCTTTTTGAATTTTAGTTCCAGTTTTCTATTGCTGTGTTGGAGATCCATTAAATTCCTCAGCAGGGCTCCCGTCTCATTCTCCATCACGGTCTCTTCTATCCTCTCTAACAGTTGAGAGGCCTGAACGTGTCCGACCCTGGCCGAGTTGTCAAAAACATGATACCTGTTGCCACATTTGTCCACCAGCCAGCGGAGGGCTGGCCATCTCTCAACGTGTTCTTCGATGGTGGTGAGCCCGAGCTTGTCTCCCCAGGTGAACAGCACCACAGCTCGAGTCCACGCCCAGAATCCGAGAGAGCTCAGGAGCTCCTCCAGGTTCCTCCTGTCTGTGTCGGTGAAGGTCTCGTCGCACCGCACCGCCACCAGGACGGCGTGAGGACAGGGGGCGCACAGAGATGCACCCTGGGTAATCTGCACCCGTACTTCCTGTGGAGTGTCTTCAGAGCAGTATCTGCCGTGCCAGCCGGGGGTGTCCACCACGGAGACGCGCCTCCTGCCCAAAGCGCCGGGTCTTTCGGTGGACCGTGTTGTAGGACATCCGGAAGGAAAGGCCTCCTCACCGAGAATGATGTTTCCCGCTGAGCTCTTCCCCGCTTGTTTCAATCCCACAATCAGAATTCGTAGTTCTGAAGTTGAAGACGATTGTGCTGAATTCGAAAAAAAAAAGAAGAAAGATTAGAAATGATCATAGAAGAAGAAAATATTCTGTTTCATTTTTGTCTGGATGTTTTCACTGAGGAGCAATCTGACATTGCATCTCATTAAGAATAGCTGCCTTTTCATTTCACATATCCCATAATGAAGGTTAGGGTTGTTTTTATATTAACCTGAGCAATTAGTCCCATTTAATCCAGAGTTTTGTCTTTAAAGGAAGAATTTCAACAGAATGGACATCTAAATCAACAGATAACATGGAGAAAAAGTGAAGAAAAATGAATTTGGTACATCTCACCAATCAGAGATCGGAGTGCATCTCTGGTCCTCTTTACTTTCATTCTCCTTGAATTTGCCCTCTCCTCCACCTCTTTCCTTCCCATCTCAGTTATCTTTGACAGTCCTTCACCTGCTGTCACAAAACCCACTCCTCCTTTCTTTCTGTCTCTCCCCACCATGTCATCAATCTTCTCTAAAAGTTCTGCTGTCTGAATGTTATCGTCCTCTCCCCACACGCTCGTGTCTAAAAGATGGTATCTATTTTCGCACTTCTCCAAAACGCCTTTAAGAAAACTATGTTTTTCAGTGTAGCTTTCCACAGAAATCTGTCTTAGGCGCTCACATCTGGTAAATATTACTATAGTGTGCTTCCATAGGGTGTCATTTAACAGCTCAAGAGGTCCCTCTACTGTCCACTCCCTGCCTCTGTGGGACCGGATGGGTATGACCATGAGGAAGGCGTGCGGTCCAGGTGGGCAGGAGGCCACGCTGGCCGCCATGTTCACGTCCACCGAGCCGGGGTCCCGGACGTCGTAGTGGATCCACCTTTCGGGGGTGCAGACCACGGCTATCTTCCTGCCGTCCCACAGAACGGCTCGCCTCTGGACGCACATCTTCACGTCCCGGCTGACGTCGAACATCGGCCGGCCGAGGATGGTGTTCCCGGTCAAGCTCTTCTCCAGCCAGTCGTGTCCCAGGAGGACAATCCTCACCTCCCCTGGGAGCAGACAAAAACCGTTCAACAGCAATGCCATAGGTCACTGAATTATCGGTGAATTATTATTGAGCTTCGTGCCGGCTGCTCCCATTTCATTGAGTTTGCTTTAGATAACATTATCATCTAAGGCTCTTGTTTAAAGAGAACAGATCTACAACAGTTCTGAATATTTAATGACTCTGACACACAGTGAGCACATTAATTAGAGGTCAGTGAAAATAATGTGTTTACTTCTCTGATCTGAACTGACTGCTGGAATTTGTTCTTCTGTGCAAAAACATGTCACAGCTAATCCAAATGAAGGTTCAAGAGCAGAATGCATTTCAGAAGCTTACCTCTGCCTGTGTGTGCGCTCCACTCCATTGGATCTTTTTCTCCCCCTCTCGAGAAAAAAGGCTGATTTAAAGTCGATCCATTAAATCAGACACTATAATTTACCCAAACAAATCAAAGGGGACAAACGTCGTCCACCCTCAACGCAAACCTGAGGCTTAATGGCTGACTCAGCTCTGTCTGACGGTGACCAGTGGTCAAAGTCCAGTTGGTTTTACTCTGATGAGGAGAAAAGTCATGCAATTAACACACAGAGCAGCTTTGTTACTGCATGATTATATTAAGTAGTCTTTACATCTAAATCCTGAAAACCTGATCTAAAGTATGCGCATAACTTCCCACGTCTCCAAAGCACCCCATGACTCTGGAGGCCTTACAGCAGCATTTCACCTCCAGACTGGTGATGATGAAAAAAACGTTGCCTGGCATGTGTTGCCAAAACAGGTTTGCTCAAATTACAGCCTTTAAACAATGAGCCACAGACACTTCCAGATACTGTGTGTATGATCTATAAATTTTTTGGGATTTGGAATGAATGATAACTCGTATAAACTGTATAAACCCAACATTACTTTGTTCCTTTTATGCTAATGTTAATGGTCCATAAGTCAGTATTTGGTTGCTTTGGACAGATTTATTTTTTACAAAACCATTTAAAATATAAAGATAGCTAATGAAAGCTGATCTCCTTTGCAAAATGTAAAGAATATCAGATGGGTTAAGACTAAATATTCAAAATATAAAAATTGAAGAAGGTAAAATGTCTCATATTCAGAATGAAAATTCCTTTTGATGAATAATGCCATCTAAACCAAAAAAAATAGAATTTTTTTCATATTTCCCATTTGGTCTGGTGCTGAAATTGAAAACTTTTTTCCTTAATAAATGCCTTCCGTCATCATTACAGGTAGGTGGAGGTAGACATCCACAAATCAGCAATTCTGTACAGCCCTCTTCTCTTTGTGGTCTCCCCTTCACTGGTGAATTTCTGTTTCATGGCACATTTGTAAAAAAAAACAACAACAACAGGGGAACATCAGTGTCAATAGCAGCAAGAAGCAAACGCTGGATGAAGTTCCCCAGAAAGCCTTTTTTTTTTTATTGAGATTCAGACCTAATGCCACAGCTGCTGCATAGCCAGTCTGTAAAAGAATCCCTGAGCCAGAATGAACTCCATTCACTGGCTATGCAGTGATGCACTTCATGCAAAAAGAAAATACGAAACAATGACTAATTACAAAGTCTGAAAAATGCTTCATCAGCAGAATTTCTCGTGGTCAGTCTTCCGAGCGTTGTTTTTAACTGAGGAGAGGCATCACTCAAGATATTTACAGCCCCAACGCGTTTGGTTTCACATGGTTTTGTACAGTTTATCCCACCAAGATAAATCCACAAAGTGCTGTGGATTTAGATGAAAACTGATAAAAGGGTCATTCAAAAGGTCTACCGAGCAGCTTCAAACATCTCTACAATGCCTAAGAGTGAGCGGGCCATTCATCATTTCTGGTGCGTACACAATTAAAGTTTACACAGTTTTAAATTCAGATCACACTGGCATGACTTCATGGTGAATCTCAGCCGAGGTCTGTGAATGGATGAGGATGAATGAATGCCGCTGAGCGTCTGTGAACGTGATTGTTGATGGAGAAGAAGATGTGGAGTGACACCAAACCTGCATCTGGTTTTAAACCGAGCTACACTCAATCGTAGGTAAACGGCTGTGCGCACACAAAAACTCACACAAGTGCAAAGAAGTCCAGGAGGAAGAGTTGCTTTGTGATTAAATTCTTTAATTCTCTCAAGTGTTTAAATTGAAGAAAACATAAAAATAGCTGTAGAAAACGAAACAAAAGCTGATGCAAGAGGGGCCGCCGACAGGATTCTGGAGATTTGAAAAAGTGGTTTGTCTAAAGTGAGCTTACTTATTAGTCAATTCTTTGTAATCAAGAATTCAGAGAAGAAAAAAAAAACATTTTATATTTTTTTACTGGGTGATACAAAAGAACTTCAGAAATATACAGTGTAAAACCTTTCACAAATACTGCCTCTCTGCAACCTTTACGACTTTGTAATTATAATTTTTCCAGTGAACAACAGGGGGTGTTGGACATCTGGATATGCGTGTCGTTTTGGATTTAAGGTGAAGGTTGTCTTGTGATCCTGAAGGTTTTTCCCGAATATTTGTAATAATTCCGCTCAAACTAGTTTTTTGTCAAACAATTATGGACTGAACAGAACCGGAATTCTTCTTACACGACTCAGCTATTTCTTTATTTCCATTAAAACCTCTCGGTACTTGGCAGCTAATCCCCACAACACAACAGGCTTACTGTCGTGCACTGTTTTTCTGCAATTTGAAAAAAAAAAAAAAAAAGTAAATCTTTCACTAACTCACAGGTTAGCGTCTACGCTGTCACACACACACAAAAAGTAATAATAAGCAGCACTAATTAAGGCTTGCATGAAATCTGTTTGGAGAGCGACGACTACGGAAAGAGGATGAATGCGGCGTGTTGCTGTTGCAGAGTAACCATCCCAGAACGGAATGTCGCACAGGTAAGGGGTGGAAAGAGGAGAGAGCGCGACACCGAACATCTCCTCCATCTGTCTTGCTACCGTTTGAATTTGGATTAAAGAATGTGGTTTACCACAGAGAGTGGGCGATGACCCACTCCTGTACTGCAGCAGTCAACAATGAGCTTGAGACGCACCGGGAGGAGCCACTTTAAAGATTAACGGTGGTTTTGAAGTTATTCACTCATTCAGCTAATTCAACCTAACGAATGCATGCTACTCCACCATGCATTACTGAGATGGGAGGAAGAAGGGCTGAACATTCAAACATAACGGGTGAGAGAATGGTGTCTTTTTTTTTTTTAAAAAGGGAGTGGGGGGGAAATAAGCAATCCCTTGCCTGAGCAAGCTTGATTTAAGGCAAAGGTTAAAATATCACTACTGCGGACTATGTTAACAGCTCTGTGGCTACGTGAAGACAGTTGGTGACCTCTATGCTGAAATCTGACTCCACGTCACACCCAACAGGGGGCTGCGGTTCATCTGTCCTGACGTCGGGGGCTTAAACTGCTTCAGTGTTTGGATCGAGATCTCCGGTTGAATTAGCGTCACATTTAGGAGGCGGTCGGGTTCGATGTGAATGAGAATGTGAGGGGCAAAACAACTCCTAAATGTGCACAGAAAGTGAGGAGAAGGTGTGGGGGGGCGGGGATTGGAAAAGAATTCGAACTGTGACCATGCTCTCTGGTGCTGTGGGCTACAAATGAGACCTGTAACAGATGGTAGGTGTCCTTGAAAAGGACGGTTTTCACATTCAAAGCCCTTGCTGTAGTTAAACAGACACCAGCCTGTTGATTTCAAGATGTTTGGGGGGGGAGGGTCAGTACACCGAGATCACATCGGCCTTTTTCTCCAAGCTGCATCTGGAGATATGATGTGGAGCTTGTATTTACAAATCTTTAGCTGAGGCCTCGTTACAGTGACGGGGGGGTGTGCCTCTCACTGGTGGTGCTCAGGCAAAGAGCTGACAGCGATGTCATGTGGAAATCTTGTTACTTGGAGCTAATTTCCCTCATACATTTCACCGAGCGGTTCTTCAAGTATTATTTTGAATACATCCAGTACTTTAAAAGTTTTGACACTGCCCATCCTTTGTGGATTAATTCAAATTTAGAGTGTCATATAGATATATTTGATCTGAGGGATAATAATAAAAAAAGAATCCGGGGAAAACGGCAGGAGGTAAAGTGCTTTACCTTCTGTGATTTGGGTGAAGGGACCCGATTGAGATCAGCCAGGCTGGGCCTCAAGGCACCGATTTCCATTACAAGTCCCTCTAAGTGCGAAAAGGCAGGAGACGTCCTGCGTGCTGACGACTGGTTTATGGGGGGGGGAGAGATTGGAAGAGATCAAATATAGACTGGACTGTGTCCCCACTTTCTGATTGGCTGAGGACTGACAGGAAGTGGAGGAAGGTGTCGTAGCTCAAAAAAAGTGGGCTGAATGGCGGTCCATGTGACCTCAGACATGTTAAGAGCTTAACCTGGGGTTGTTACTGAGATTCAGCGGGACTTGAATGGAGGGGTGGGGGGGGGGGAACTAAGAAAGATTCGAGGATCGCAGTGCTGCATCACCCCCTCATATTCTGTGATACACCGGAGCGGTTCGACTCCGCACCCTCCGTCATTCTCTCTGCCTCTAGTGCCGTTAGGATTTTTCACTCTGGTGTCAGTTATGTTTTCACAGGTGGGTCTCCTCCCTGACCCACCGACAGTAGGAGGAGAATGGAGCTGGGTAGGGGGGAGACACTGCCGGGTGGCCGTGTGGAGACAGCCGGACGCGGGAGGGGGTTTAACACAGTTTAGTTTTCTTTCTTGGCCTCCTGGTTGCCGTAACTGGAGCCCGTTTTGTTTACCTCGGTGACCCCGATGAGACGGCGGATAGCTACGGAGGCTGTCGGGTAAAGAGACAAAAAAATAATAAGTACAAGTTTTTAATGCGAACTGACGCTGAACAAGATTTAAGATTTTATTCTTGTTCAATAAAAGAAGCCCTGTCAGATTTCATCCTGACTGCCGCTGGCTCTCCTTTCACCTACCTATGATGAGGAAGATGGTGAAGCCGATGATCAGGAGGGGGGAGCCGCTGACAACCACTCCGCATGCAAAGTTGATCAGAGGCGAAAGCAGGATGGCGGCCCAAAACAGGAAGTTGAGCAGTGTCCATGGGCGGCGAGGTGGGATAATGGTGGGTCCAGGGAACTTGCCTGTCTTATTGTACGTTTCTTGTAAGGCATCCTGAGGAGGACAGAGAAGAGGGGGAAAAAAAGTCAAACACTGGTCTGATTTTGAAGAGAGATTTATCAGAAAATATTTTTAAAAACTAAAGGGTTTACTCTGGTATAGTTTATTCTGTCAAGGACAACAAAAGTCAGAACATTCCGTCAAATTATTTCAATATCTTAGGCAACAAGATAGAGTGGATATCCACTACGATATAATGGATTTGCTTACTTTCTCCTGGTAGAGTTTATGCAGCCAGGTGGCACACTCCTGCTCATTATCTGGTATTTCATCCACAGTGTACCGCCTGGATAGAAACAGAAGAAACAACATTCAGTTGACTAAAGTAATTAGATTTCATAATTTATCAGCAAATGGATTTAAAAAGTGGTACAATTAAAGGTGATGTTGTATACCAAGATGTCCTGTCATAATGTACTGTGATTTGGAAAAACACTCATCATAATAACAGCAACGTGCGCCTCTCATTCAAGGCTTTGAAATATGGACCATACAGTAACATACAATCGTGGTCAACTAAACTGATACAATCTGATCACCGTATGCTCTTATTTTTTGAAGTAAAAGTAATTTGTCTGATTTAAAATGCAATGTTTATATATTGAGGTATTTTGAACAGAAAAAGTTTCACACTAATGCAGCTGGTCACCTCGGACATGTAGTGGCAGCTCCTGACCACTAGAGGTCTTCAAGTGATTGAGCCATGCCTGTTGTGTTCAGTCTCTCCAGTCTAATATAATATGCTGCTTCTTTCCAGCTTGAGCTTCAAAATAAAACAAATCTGGCAACATCTGAGTATTCTAATTGCTACTGTTTGATAGAAAAAGTTGATAAAAAGTTAAAAAAACAGCCCTTTCTGACTGGCTTTTTTTTGTTGTCTTGTGACCAGCTCTTGGGCCTTCAGAGCTAAATCAGCACAATACCAACCCTGTCTCTACATGTCAAAGCAGACGCTGAATATCTTTAACGTTTCTGTACGGTAACATAAGCAGGACCCACCTGATATGCAGGTCAGCTTTGTATTTCTTGCCATTGACGATGCCCAGGAGGGTGGGAGTTTGCTTGTCTTGGAAATTAAGAGTCACATCATATACAGCAGTCACTGCAATTAGAAGGAGAGTCAAATTTAGCACATTAAAAAAAGAAAAAAGCAGCACGTTTTGAATGAATATTGTTGTGTGTGGACGTCTACACTCCACCTGTGCCCTTAAGACACTGCATCGTGGTGGTGAATCCCTTGGTTCTGGGTAGCAGATGGTATTTGAGTTTGGGAAGGCCTTTGCTCTCTGCAACCTGCATACTGATTTGGTGCTTCTTCTCTGTAAAGCGAGTTCCCTCGCAGTACAGCAGGAACTGTGAAGAGACAAGATGTGTGTTTATACACACACACACACACACAAAAAAAGGGGGGGAAAAAAGCACATATTGGATATGACCTTGTTTTTCTTGCCCTGGCTCATCTGTTTGGTAGTGCACTTAACTAAACTAATCTTTCTTCAGTTGTAGTAAGGTAAACAGATGGATGGCAAATCCACCCAAACATGTTTGACTTAATGGGGTAATTAAGGCAAATGCTAATCTGACAGATCTCTGATGGAACGCTTGCTGACTTATGGTGAAAATCCATGTAACTGACTCACAGCGTGAGGGACGCATGCAGTGGTGTCAATGCAAAGGGCGATAAATAAAAAGCCATGGCTAACCCATCGCAATTCCACACATGCTGGAAGACAAGTGACAGTACCTACCCACATAAATTCAGGATAGTCTTTAAGTCTGGACAGGCCAGAGAAGACGGTGTCTCGGTCCTCCTCCCACTTTCTTTTGCAGAAAACGATTTCTAGAAAGTACCAGGTCCAGCCAATGAGAGGAACCTTCAGCAGCTCATGTTTGGCCAGCACTTTCGAACTCTGAAAGGGGGAAACGCGGATGTATCAAATAGGAACCTTTAGTTGTTGGCCACGTTACTAAAAGTATGTCCTCGGCCGCTCTGTAATTTCTGAACTCACCCCTAAGACGCCGTATCTCTCGCACATGGTCCAGCCACACAGGAAGTCGATTTCAAAGTTATGGTTGAGGATAATGATGACGTGTTCCTTGCCAAAGTTGTCCACCGTAGCCTGGTCGGTGTATAGGGTGCAGTCAGTGCCTGACCACCACTCTAGCAGCATCACCAGCTCTGCACGGACACAAAGCAGCCAGGGCGTGAGCGGGGGGGGAGGCCAGCTTCATGCTGAGCTGTCCCTCAGTTCCTTATATACTGCCTGTAAAGTCTGTCGTACCCAAGCTGTTTTTTATTTGTCATCACATTTCTGGAGTTAGTTTTTTTTTCCGCTTAAAATAAATGTAGTAATTCATGTATCAGTGTTGCACAGCTTAAACAAACAACAAAAGCTGAAAATGGGTAAAAACCCAAGTAAATACTAAAGTCTCTGAAGTCTAAAGATTTATACTTTAATACTTCTTTAACATATTCAAAGAAAGTCTGACTTCTGAGATAAATTCTTTAAAAAAAAGACAGTTCAGTTTTTTAATAAGGGAACTTTTGTTCATTAAATGACTTTATTTGGACTGTTAAAACTTCTCAGGGGTTAATGAGAACAGCTGAGTCACTTGTGCCACGGTTCTGTGAGTGTAACTAGGCAAAAGTTCACCATCTGTGAGAAGTCAAGCTGACGGCTTGATCTGTCAGATGTTCGGGAGAAGCTATGCTGCGTTTGGCACTCGGCCAAAACGGGCAGAAAATATATACCCCTCCCCCCCGCTAAACACTGTTTTTGGAATTGCTTTGAACCTTTTCCCCCCTTTGCCCAGTTTCAAGCGTCTGCAAAAAACGACGCCAGCACCCAGAAGCGTGGTCCACTTACGGCTCCAGAGGGAGTAGGAGAGCCGGCAGTTGACCCTGCGGTAGAGCTGCCTGTTGACCGGCCAGAGGACGCAGGTGCACAGCTGAATGAAGTTTATGATGAGGCCGCTCACCACGAACACAAAGCCCATCAGCAGCTGCAGGATGAACAGGCTCTTCAGGGAGGCCAGCAGAGCCATGGTGGAGGAGCCTGGGGGGCTGCGGGGGCTCCTCTATACACCACAACCAACCTGACGGAGGCACAGGTGTGGTTGGGGGGCGGGGCAAACAAAAACAGCAAGAAGCAGCGCTAACAGGATGAAGCGGTCTGTTTAACCCTGTGTATGTGTGTGTGTGTGTGCGTTCTCACCACGGTGGAGTGTCTTTACAGGCCGCGCTTACACGGTCCTTCGGCCAGCACCACGGACCTGCGAGGGACAGGAGGGCAGCGGCGTGAGAGAGGCGGCAATGGAGGACGTCTAAAGCTCCGTTCCACCACGGGGCTTTGAGCGTGGCAGCAGGCAGAGATGAAGACAGAAGGGGCCTGCGCTCAGGAACAGCCTCCATTCTGCGTGGGTGGGGAGTTCACGATACAAGTAACAGAAGAACAGTTTCCATCGCAGACGTCCTGGTTTTAATCTGAGCAGCACGGAGCATCGGCTTCAACGCAACCGTGCATCTCTTTTTATTTTCAGGACATGTAGCGCCCTTTGCTTCAGATTTACAAACTATTACTGAGTGAGAAAATACAGAGCAGCTCCAGGGATCAACATGTGACCGATGAACTGTATCACAAGATAGATTTGGCTGCTTTCCTTCAAATTACATTTTCAAATATTTGGCTTCTAGAACGTCAGCTTGATTGAATAAGACATTATTGATTTTGAAAAAATGATGAAACAGATGTAGCAAAGACGCCCTGCTCAGAGCTGTAACGGAGGCCTACATCTGTGAGCGCCTGGATTCATGAATGCTCCACTTTCCTGCAGCAGGTGAATTAGAACTGTGAGGAACTCTCGGTCAGGGTGTGACTGTGACGGTTTCCCATCAGCAGCTCTGCTGCAGACTAGGGAGCATTCTCTTTAGAGCAGGCAGAGGGAGAAAGGAAGCGTTTGATTCCGTTGATCCCTAAAATGCAGGCAGTATATAGTGTAAACAGAGGGTGCTGGAAACGCACGGCTTTATGTTTGAGGTGATAGGCCAAAAGCACAGATCAGTTTTCACACAGTGGATTAAACCACGGTGTCAACGCAAAACACACACAATAAGACGAGGATATTTACAGTCTGCTTTATGACAACAGATCAGGTAGTCCTGAATCTGCTGTTCCCACACTGGAAACAAAGCCCATTAGAGAGGAGGTTAAGCCAGTTTTAACGTACTTCTGATGAACATTTCTAATCTGTGACAGCCGACTAGGCCTCCACCTGCTCCCCTTTCCAAGAACTCTTGGCTTTTCCTGTGCACAGGCTTTCAAAACATGGAGAAAAAAAGATAACTAAACTTAGAGAAGCACTTAGATAACTAAACTAAGTGCTTAAGCAGGGAGTCTCCTAATAGACAAACAACCATTTTTTAACCCTTTGGTCCTGGACAATTAAGTGTGCCATCAACATATTCAGTCTCAGAAAAACCAACGACCAACAATGTTCCCTGCTGTTCTGCCTGCACTCCAGACAACAATCCACGTGCAAACACTGTGTGCCAGACACATCATTGTTCAGAGTCTGATACAGCCATCTTCCCTCACACATCAGCGCCTGATGCACGGTCCAGTAAACGTCCAGATTAAGGGGAGCCCCCATGCCGGCAGCCTAATTTAAGCAGCAGCCTTAATCAAGACATGCAACTGATGCAACACCAGAGGACCGTAGGTGGGCAGTAATCCTGTGACACACACTGCAACACGACACACACACACACACACGCTAATTCAGAGGCCGGGCTGTGAAGGAAACTCAAAGTCTTACTCTCAAAAGCCTCCGACGTTCCGCTCAGCTCCGCAGGCCGATGGAATAGTGAGGAAATATCTCAGAAAGGTTTGCAAAACTGCTGCATGTGCATACTGTAAGAGCCCAGGGGCTGATTATCAGCCTGAACATGCTCCAACATCTCTGTATGCCTGCCGCTGTGACCTTTGCCCGCACCGGGTGGGTGAGGTCGCACTGCTGTTCATTTCATTTGTAAATAAAAAAATGCTCATTTCCGCCATGTGGCTGTTAAAATGTGGGTAAAATGACTGTGAAGTAGTTAATAACGGCTTCCTCAAAAGTTCCAAAAACAGGTCTGTTGTCAGTGTGGACTCATTTGGTGTTGTGCCAGCTGTGTAGAGAGAAACTAACTGTGAGGAAGCTTCATTTGAATAATTTTCAACATAAAAACAGACTATCAAATATGAAAAAAAAAGGCTACATGACTTTAGCTTTGAAATGTCCTCTTTCGAAAACTCCGAGCATAGGACTCATAGGAATAGGAAGCATAGGAAGTATTGGCCAAACATAAAATGAACTTTGTTCCCATTCCCTCCCCCCCACCCCTCTTGGCATGCTGGAATCATACAAAGCAACTGAAAAGCAGCACTACTTATATCTCATGTAAAAACTCTTTTAAGGTGCCAGTCGAGGCCTGCAGAGCACAACAGAGAGTGTTTTTTCTTTACATTTTCCAGTGTGTTTCTGGGACAAATAAAAAAATGATGGGTTACATGATTACTTAAAAAAAAGTTCTGAGTACCTATAAAACTAAACGGTTGTGGCTTTTTGTCTGAATGAAGTTGATTAATTGGTCGGTTGGTTTCCCTGTTGGGAGCGAACCTGGAGAACCTGCTGGTTCTCCGTGTTGCGTTAGCAGCATGCGAATCAGCGACAGTCTAAATAGTTCAGCTGGCTTTTTATACGTCATGGAATGGAATCCGTCTTCTGATGAGTTGTGTCCTGAGCCACTGCTCAGTTTATCAATTTACTCCAACCCAAAAGTGATTTGCTATGTTCGCCCTTAATCTACAGAATAATTTAACTGTACTGATGTTCTTATATAAAACACATAAGCTAAATATACTATCAAAAAAAGAATCAAACAATCAATTATCCGTTTGGGTTCCAGTGTGTTTATATATGCAGGAACTGGTACACACTTTGAAACCATTATGATAAGGTAATTTTTCCTTTAATATCTAAAATGACTAAAAAGCAACAGGGTAAAGTCATGAAATTGAAAAGAAAAAATCAAGTTTGGGGACAATAAACTTTTATTATAAATTACTGTCCCTACTTTTTGACAAATTGAAATTAGTGGTTTTACATTTTTCTAGAGGAAGGCTCTGGTTTATGACGGCTTTTTATTCCCCCCCCCCCCCCCCGTGAAGACTGGATGAGAATCTTACAAACAGCAAGTTTACAAAGCCGTATCGATCTAACCAAACAGACTGTGGTTTTCTTCCAACAGGTGTTGGACTGTTTTGAAGATGTCCACAGAAAGACGATGGGAACAGCCAGTGGAAGCTGTGAGGCCCAGCTTGGAGGAAAGATTAGCAGTGCTGACGGGGCTAAAGCTGCTTAAGGCTGGACAGCTGCATCTGAATACAACTTCGACACCGACGGATAACCATTGCTTCCTATGAGCCTTCAAACCTGGAAAAACTGTTGAAATATCACTCGAGAAAAGTCCAGCCAAACATCGACAGAGTTGAGCCACATTTTGAAACTGCTTCATAATCAGGGCACCGATTCCAAAAACGTTATTTGGCTTGTTAAAGGGCTTTTTACCCCTTGAAATTCTACAACGACTTCTATGAGTCCCCAAATCACACAGGAGTGGACCCGAGACCTCTCACGCGCCAACACTTACCAGTACACATAGTAGGCCATGGCCATAAACACCATTGCCCCACAGATCCCAGTGAAGATCATGACAGCGCTCTGATTCAGCATTTTGGCTGCTGGTATCCCACCAATTCAAAGCCAGAGGAAAAAAAATGAGAGTCCGGGCCTGCAGATTGCAGTGGATCGTCACAGGCTGGCCAGCTTCATGGCCATAATAATCCCACAGAAGGATGGCGGGAGATTATGATGATGACAGCAGAATACGACCCGATCCCAGAACCTATCAGAGGAGCTGCCCGATCAGCCGAGGAGATCCCGTCTGCGCCACGCAGTGTCCATTCAGGAAGAAAAGAATCAACACAGAGAACTCATTTTGATTTTGAAAAAGTGTTTAAAATGAGGAGAGCACTCTCAAAACTGCAATGGAGGATGGCTCGCTAGTGGAAGGAGGGCGGCCCACATGTACTGTAAGCAGGGTCCTGCCTGTATTCCCATCCTCTAATCCAGTGGATCAGATTAGTGCTGATTTGTGGGCTATGTGCACCCTGGATATGTCACATCTCATTAACGTTAACAAAGACAAGCCTGGGCTCTATGCAGCCAGGGTGAGGTTGGCATCTGTTATGGTAAAGTAGCCAGTCGCAGCGTACATTGTCTTGATTCACCTTGCCATTAGCCACCTGTTGGTGACACTTAAAATTAGATAAGTGTTGAATTCAGGGGGATGATTCACAGTTCCCCGAAACAATCTCTTCTAGTGTTGCCAAGCGGTGACACTAGCTCGTAAAAATACATTTTATTAGTGAGAAATCTTATCCTAGTGTGGAAGTCTGCGATATTCATTTGACATCCGTCCTCTCTCCGCTTTTATTTATATACACATTTTTTTGCCACGATGACCACCAGAAGGACTGTCAACATGCTGACCGAAAGAGAAGGAAACCGCCAAGTGTCAACTGACGCAAACGGGCCAGAGGCCAAAGTCTAGTCTGGTGGCCTCGTCGACGGGCCCAGAGGCAAAAACAAACGGAGATAAAAATATACTGGACAATGAAGGTCATTTGTTCGCGTTTCAATGCTCCCAGACCTCACATGGCAGTAGTGTCCTGCCACAAACTCAAAATCAACTTCTTTCCGTGTGTGTTCACTTACTACAACTAAAACCGCGGCTGCTGTTGCTGTGGTCTGTTAACGGAAAAGGACAGAGGAGAAAAACATGCTCACAGATGCATCTTGGTTATTAGACAACATAATTCTACAAGACTTTTGGATTACCTTCCAAGAAGGCAAACAGATAGAAGAGATAGTGGCTTATCAACATATGTAGATATATATATGCCTCAAAGTCCTGTAGGGCAATACTACGATTGATCAACAGATAAAAGCGCTAAATGGTTTACAACGTGTAGGCATGTGACTGC